AGATGATCTGCTTGGAAGGGACATAAACAGGCCAAGCGGATGCAAGTTAATAAAACCCGAAAAAGCCCAGGCAGGAACACTTAAAATGCCCCAGAAACAAAGCATACCGTGACAAATTCTCACCCAACACACAAGTACACGCACCGGAATGTTCCCAGACACAGAGAAAAAGCAACTTCCCTACCTTGGGCCTCCACTCGAGAACACTCAGGCGTACCTGCCCAGCTCCAAGAGCGTACACAAATTTGTGCACTCTCATAAACTGACCCAAAGAAACCCTTGGGGCCTGGGGCAGGCACTGGCTGCATGCACACCCCACAGAGCCAGCCCCATATCTCCTGAGCCTCACTAATGCACGATCCATACCCAGAGATAAAAGTCTAGACAATAGACGGCTGTTTATGACAACCAGGCTCTCCAAGTTTGGGGCCAGGCGATAAATCTCTGGCGAATCTTCCTGTAGCTCAACTTCTGGCTACAGTGAGGAGAAAACCACTGAGCCCGCAGAGAGGAAAGCAGCGAAATGGGGGAGACTTGTAAATCCTGAGCAGAAGGCACCTTCCCTGCTGGGGTAAGGAGGCATAGGCCACCACACTCACCCCACGCAGCAGTCCTCACTGTGGAATCTTTCGGAGCAAGCTTCAGAGCTCAGGCGAGTCAGAGTTCCCCACTGCCCGCCCAGGCTTCCAGGTTCCGGAAATCAGGGCAGAATGTGCAGGCAGAAGGCAGGGCCTGGAGGCTGGAACAAATCCACAAACAAATGATTCTTGCTGGAGCCAAAGAATCTTTTTTTGTTTTTGGTGACAGGACACTTTTTGCTCTGTGTCACCTGAATTTTTTCACCCCATGCCTCCTCAATCCCCCCCCCCTTTTTTTTCCTTTTCCTTTTTGGATTGATTAGCTGTTTGTTCCCTTTTGCATTTTCAACCTAGGCATCTGATTGCTAGTAAAGAGCCACTGAGGTTGATCTCATAAAAATGCCGCGAGCTCACTTTGATCAGCACGGACTAGGTCCGAGCCTTAAAGTAGGAGCTAAATCCAGAGAATCAGGGCTCTGGCCAACTGGCCTCTGCTCTGAGGCGAGGCGGGAGATCTGGGTGGCCCAACAGAGTAATCCCATCCAGAAAAGGTATTTTCTGTGCCACGGCCACTGGCTTAGGAAACTAAAGCCCAATAGCAGCGGCTCCATTTCCAGACTGCTTTTAAGACATTTCCTTCATTTTGGAGCATTTGGTGAGGGGGCCAGTGAAACGGGCTCGTAAAATGGGGCTTTTATGGGAAGAAATAGGGTCGGGTTGCTAGCCTCCTGGGACAATCTCTCCACAGAGGAAGCTGGGTGGGGCCTGTGGGGGCAAGGAAGCTGCCCTTCTCCCTCCCCACTACCTCCTCCAAAGGTCCCAGGAAGCTCTGAGCAGCGTCCAGCAGCTTAGGTGGCCTGACTTGGGGACTCAGGCTTGGGGCAATGGCCAAGTCTGAGAAGAGGTGGAAGCCAGGAACTAGCAGTCCCACCCCCTTCTTTTTCCCTGGCTGGGGCTGGGGTATCCCGGGTGCATGATAAACTGCTGACCTGAAAATCCCAAAGCATACTAAAGGGATTATTGCAGGCAGTGGTATTACTCTAAGGGAGAGAAATATAGGCAAGAAGGTGAAAGCCAATTTCTAATGAGTGTTCCTTGCTGGCCCAGCATGTGAACAAATGAAGGTGTCTATCCATGGGACTCTCTCTGCTTATCTTTTTATTGACTCCACACAGGCTGAATTTATAATCCAAGCCCACTGGAGCTCATGCAGGCCCCATTTCTCCTTTCAGCATTTTCCTTCCCAGCTCATGGTCTGTGGGATGGATCTTTCCCTACCAAGATCTGCTCTCTAGAACCCAGATCAGCAGGAGGAAATAGACAAGCTACCAGGAGGCTCCAACACTGTATGCAGGAGTTTGATCTGGGAGCCACCCAGGCCAGAATTTGGGAGACACTGCTGCCTCCTTCTGAAGCCGCCCCTGTTGTCCGTGTGTGGGAGGGAAGGGTGCTGGAGTCTGCCTTAGCCAGGGTCAGGCTACCGGGAGAGCCGCCCAAACCGCAGCCGCCTGCTAATGGCCAGGCTGACTGGTGGCGCTGACTGAGGACACCAACATCCAGTGGGGAGGGCGGGATGGCCCTGCTGCAGAGAATTTCAGATGAATTTCGGAATTTCAGGACTCAAAGCAGTTGGAGAGGCCACAGGTACCCACCAGATAAGGTACAAATAAGCAACCTGGAGCGGGCTTGACAAGGAAGGGATTGGGGGCCAGGGATGGGTCTTGTGTGGGGAGACATTGAGGCTTTGGCCAGACTCAGCAGGCAGAGAGGGTGTAGCCTGGAGCAAGCAGCTCAGCTGAAGCTTCCAGGTAGCCTGGACCCAGGGCTGGGCAGGGAGGCTATTTCACACCGTGGGCATTTTTGCCCACAAATGTCTAGCTGACCTCAGTGGCCAGGGCCTTCTTTCCTTTACCCTAGCAGCAACTTCCAGTTGCTAGCGGTTTTTTGAGTTGTTGAAAAACTAAGTCTTATCAACACCAGAGAACATTTTAAACTTCATGCCTTCCTTTTATTATTTTCCAGATGTCTCTGTTGGGAGACCCCAGAGTTTCCTAGACATCAACTCTTTGACATTCTTTTTTGCCTTTCTTTTTTGTTTCAAGGAAATAGGGCCGCCAGCAGCTCCTTGTTGCCGCCTGGCTCACTTTTATGGTGGCCCGGGAATAAACTTTGGTGGTCAAATTCAAGTGCTCAGGCCAGCAGCTGTCTCTTCACAGGAAGCAGCCCCTACCCCCACTGCAGCCCGGGCTGTGCTGAATCTGCCTTGGGGGATTGGGCCCCACTTCACCCTGGAGGGCCACGAGCGGGAAGGAAGCAGAGCCTTGGGTGGAAGTGGAGAAAGGAGGAGCTGAGACTTGAGCCCTCATTCACACCTCTGCAAGGATAGGGGTACCTCTCCCTTCCCTCTTGCTGGTTCCTATCATTGTTTGGGGAGCATTTTGCCTCCAATAAACTCGAATTTAATGAGGTCAGTGCAAACCCCATTAAAAGCCACAGTCCATAGTTCCCCACCATTGTAATTAAAAATGCTGGCCCAGCTCACCCTATAAAAAGGGCTGGGGAAAAAGGAAACAACAGATTTTCTTTTTGTGGTCCCTTCCCGACAGAGAAGCCTCACACTTTAGCAAAGCCCAAATCTAGTTCTTCTTTGCTTCAGTTTAAGATCTGACCAGAACTAAAGAAGAAGCGCCCAGCATTGAGTAGGTAGGCGGGCGCCTGAGTCCTATCCCTGAATATTCCAGAACCACCCCGAGAATGGGACCCATGGTGGAGGCAGACTCCACCCAGGTGTCGCTGTAAATGCTGGGGAGGCAGGAGGGCTGAGGAGGAATGGATTTTAGAGGTTACATATGGAGATAAGCTACATTTTTTTGTGTCCTTACTATCTGGTTTGGGAGCCACAGCACCTGATCATGTTCCATGAAAACAAATCCAGTCTAATTTTTTTAAGTGGACACTAATTTTAAGTAAGGGTTATGGGTGTAAAGAGAGTTTGGGCTATTTTTTGTTTTCCCTGAGTGTGCATTGGGCTGAGCCCTTAGGGGCTTTGGTTCTTCCCCTCCTTCCCAAGCAAATCATGCCCTGGCAGCTCCTCTTTGGGTCTAAGGTTGCTTTCAGCTCATGCTGGTTGCTTTTGGCCCCTTGGACCGTTCAGTAAAGTGATTTTCAGCCACATGTGTCCTGTGGTGCTCGGAGGGATGGAAGGCAAGGGGTTGGGGATGCAGAATCTGGAACTTACTTCTTGGGCTACAGCTACCAAGGAGGCTGACAGACTTGAAGGAGAGCAGGGAAGGACTGAGAAATAGGAAGGAGGCACTAAGATCTGGTCACAGCCCCAGGGACAGCAGCAGGGGGCTTTGACTAGGGAGTGGCCCCTGGCCCTGCCCTGATGCCATAGCATCCACTGCTCCTTTCCACTGTCCTGCTAGTCTCTTCTGGAGACCCATACCTGGCCCCACCACCCACCTTACATTCCTTGCAATCATCCAAGGATAAGAACCCCAAACCTAGTCCCCCCACCATATTCTTCCTGGACCCCGACACTAGGCTTCTTTTCAACCCACTAGCTGAGGCTGAGTCGCTAAGCCAAAAGGCCCTGACATAGAAGATACATGGCTCTCATTCCAATCCTTTTCTTTGGGGTTTGGGATTTGAAAATCCACAGTGGATGTAGCTTTCTTCACATTGATTGACAATAAAGGCAGGCATGAAATATTCACCCAGCGCCACTCTCTCATACTAAATATTTAACACAACATTAGAGAAGGTTTTTCCCAGACTTCGCCAGGCACCGGCTGGGCGGCTGGCGCACTGCTCACCACTCGTTTATGACTAATCCGACTCCCTAGCCAACGGCAGCACAGCAAGCCAGACAAAGTTGGGACACTGGCTTGCAGCTGGGCTGCCTCACCTTTGGGAAACTTCAGATACTCTTCCAGGAGTCTCTCTAAGGACTCCAAAAAGGTAGTCTTGACACCCAGCTCTGGCCAGGAAAAGAGCGGACTTCTTCAAACTCTTGTGAACAGGCGATGATTCTGCAGGTTGGAGGGGTAAGAGTCCCTGAGATTTAAGGGAAAGGATTCACTTCTCTGGGGAAATCAGGCAGTGGGAAAGAAGTCCTCACTCCCACCCTTCTGGTGCTGATCACAGGGAGGAGGCAAGACCCCCATACGTGAGAGCCCTCCTCCTTCCCCCAATCCTGGGGGAAAAAAGAGCAGCAGCTAGAAAAAAATACAGTTACCCCCTCCCAGCCACCACCCTCGCCCATCCCACCGCCCACCCCACCCCAACCCTCTCTCTCCTCCTTTGCTCGGGCTGTGGTATGGAGAGAAGGGGAGTGACGAGAGAAAAACGAATACAAATCTGCAATTGATTTTCATAATGTTTCTGCGGTGTTTGCAAACCAATCGCCTGAACGTCCCCGATCTTACCTAAGAGAGAACCCCTCCTACGTCTGCGAAGTGCTCCGAACTGATATATGACAATATCTACTTTGGATCACGTGCTCGGGGAGAGAGACTAAGACGGATAACGCGTCATCTCGCCTTCCCAAATTTTCCCCCCTCGCTACACCGGTCCAAAACCTCCATCCGGAGCCGGCAGGAGAGGAGAACGATGTTTAACTCGGTCAACCTGGGCAACTTCTGCTCGCCGTCGCGCAAGGAGAGGGGCGCTGATTTCGGCGAGCGAGGGAGCTGCGCCTCCAACCTCTATCTGCCCAGTTGCACTTACTACATGCCCGAGTTCTCCACGGTCTCCTCCTTCCTGCCCCAGGCCCCCTCTCGTCAGATCTCCTATCCCTACTCTGCCCAAGTGCCCCCGGTCCGGGAGGTCTCCTACGGCCTGGAGCCATCCAGCAAGTGGCACCATCGGAACAGCTACTCCTCCTGCTATGCGGCGGCCGACGAGCTTATGCACCGGGAGTGCCTGCCTCCTTCCACCGTCACCGAGATCCTCATGAAAAACGAAGGCTCCTACGGCGGCCACCACCACCCCAGCGCCCCGCATGCAGCCCCCGCCGGCTTCTACTCCTCAGTCAACAAGAACAGCGTCCTGCCTCAAGCCTTCGACCGTTTCTTCGACAACGCCTACTGCGGTGGCGGCGACGCGCCCGCCGAGCCCCCCTGCTCCGGCAAGGGCGAGGCCAAGGGGGAGCCCGAGGCGCCCCCGGCCTCGGGACTGGCGTCCCAGGCTGAGGCGGGTGCCGAGGCGGAGGCTGAGGAGGAGAACACAAATCCCAGCTCGTCCGGTTCATCCCACTCTGCGGCCAAGGAGCCGGCCAAAGGAGCCGCCCCCAGTAGGTAGCAGCGGCCGGGAACGGGCGGGCAGCGAGGGAGGGAGCGAGGGAGGGAGGGCGAGAGCAGGGGGGAGGCCAGGGGAGCAGGAATGGCCTCGTGTTTTGGGTCAGTCCGATTTTATGTGGAGTTTTATAAGCATTCAAAGGATTTTATTATAACCTACAAAGCCCTCTCTCCCAACGACTCGACTTTTTACGATGGAGAAGGGGTGGGGAGGGAGGGAAAAGGGCTCTTTGGAAAAGCCGGGTGAACCCCCCTCCCCCGTTATCTCCCTCGGTCTGTGAAATTTTTAAAAGCGCCACCATTGCGGGCGATATTAACTTTGATCGTGAACTTAGAGGAGCATTTAAAGAAGGATGGGGAGCCGGGCTGCCGGGGAGTGGGAGGGAGGGGAGGGGTGGAGGGGGAGAAAGGGGAGGGCGAGGGAAAGACAGGGAGAGATCCACAGAGGGGGAGAGGTGGGGGAGAGGAGCAATGGAGCAGAACCTGAGACCGGGGAGGCAAGCCAGGGCCCCTCCGATCCTTTTAAAAACTATTTTTGAAAATGCTGAAACTATGTGCTTGCGGGTCCTCGAGCAGAAACCCAAGTAACCTTGGGGTCAGCGGCGACAGGAGAACGGGGAGAGGCGGCTCAGGGCTCCACTGCACTCCAGGCGGGGGTCTAGGCGTTTCTCCTGGGTCCGCGGCCTCCATGCCGGCCTAGAACTGCGACGTGGAAGGCGCGGCCCCGCGGGCGTCCCGGGGCGCTAGGGCCCCGGAAGCGGCTCTCTGGAGTCCCGGTGCCTGCTGTCCGGCTTCTTCCCCGCCTCTCCACTGCTCTCGCCAGATCTCACCGCTTCGCGCCAGTTCTCGGCTTTCCCCCACAGATTTCTGAGGGAGGGGGTGGTGGGCTTTCCGAACCTCTAGAAGAGCTGCGCAGGAAGGGCCTGAGGGCCGTGGGGAGCAGGCAGGGGGTCCCCGAGGGGACGCACGTGGCCCCGGCAGCTTTCCTCCCCTTCTATACCCTGTCAGCGGCGGCTCTGGCCTGAGGACCGGGGACGCTGTCGCTCAGTGGCCTGGGGTCGGGACCCGCTAGACCTGGCAGGGGGTCGAGGCTTGCCCGGGCGCCGGGGCCGCAGGAGAGGCGGCCGCCTGGCGGGAGGGCTGCCAGCGGGGGCTGGGAGAAGGGCCGCGGAGCGCTGAGCGGGCTTGGGTCGCCCGGGTCTCACGTGTCTCTCTCCCCCCTCTCCTCGAACTTGCCCCCTCCCCTCCCTCCAGACGCCCCTCGCACCCGCAAGAAGCGCTGCCCTTATTCGAAATTCCAGATCCGGGAACTGGAGCGAGAGTTTTTCTTCAACGTGTATATCAACAAAGAGAAGCGGCTGCAGCTGTCCCGGATGCTGAACCTGACGGACCGACAAGTGAAAATTTGGTTTCAGAACAGAAGGATGAAAGAAAAAAAACTGAGCAGAGACCGGCTGCAGTATTTCTCGGGAAATCCGCTGCTGTAACCCGCAGACCGGGCCCTTTTGGGGGCAGGGGGAGGGGAAAATTATTTTATTTTATCTTTATTTTTTATTTTCTAAGTCGTCTTCTTTCCGCTGGTGGAAAACTGGACTGGGCCAGGGCTGGCCCCCACCGCCGTGGCCGGCACTCCATTCCGGAACCTCCTGGACCCTCGGCCTGACTCGCGCTGTGGGACAGGGACCGGGCCTGGAAAGGGGGTGAAGGGAAGTGTCTGATGCACGGCGAGTGAACACCGTTGGCGCCGAGGCCAAGACTTTTATTTAAAAGAAAACACACCTCGGCGACAAGGTCTTGCTGCTCGGATTGGGTGGGGGAGGGGCGACAGTAGTAAGCGCCTGAGCCGAACAATCCTCAAACTAAAAGCCTTCCCTTGCCCAAGTGAAAAGATCCGCTAAGACAGCCTGTCTGCCAGCGGAAATTTCTCGGGCTCCCCACTCCCACCCCACCTTGCCCCACTCCTTAGGGGGCAGCTAAATGTGATCCTGCCTTGCTGTGAAATTTCCGTACCTTCGACCTGGTGTTAGGTGTGCAAAGTCCGTGTCCTACCTCCGTCTTCGCCAAGGCCCCGCCCGAGCCTAGTTGTTCTCCCTGTGAATGTGTAGAACCTTCCTTTGAAATTTCTTAATCGGTGCATTGAGGTTTCCAAACCTTTTTCGAAGCAGTGCCCCACTTCATGGATTTATAGCTATAGTCTATGCAGTTGTTACCGCTTTTTTTTTTTTTTTTTTTTTTTTTTCTTTTTTAAGAAAAAAGATTGGGGTGGTGGAGGCAGTAGGGAGATGGGATTGGGCGCCTCCCCCGTGCTGGGGCCTGGATTTTTGTAAATAAGTTTCCCAAGCGTTTCTTTCCATCTGGAGGGGAAGGGGGGATGCCCCAATGAGATTCGAGTCACCCATCTCTCTCCCTGTGCGTGAGTGCATGTGTCCATGTGCACTCCCCACCCTGCTCCCATCCCAGAGGGATTGCTGTGAACATTTTTTTGGTGGCAAATAAAGATAAATTTCATTCTGTTCAATATTATGATTTTATTTAATCCTTTTATTAACCCCTCTCCTCTTAAAATCCTCCATCCTCCCAAGGCAGCTGCGGAGGAGGAGGCAGGCGGGCAGAGCCCAGCGGGTGAGAACAGGCACACTGAGGTGAGGTAGGCCAGTGCTGGCCGCACGGGCCTGGAGCTCCTGTCTGCTGGCAGGGCCAAGAGTATGGCCATAGTTTCCTCAAGCTCTCAAGCTGAGGACATTCCACAGCTACTCTTAAGCTCTCCTTTCTCACGTGCAGCTCGAGCTGTGTCCAAACGCCCAGCAACGGCTTTCCGTTTAAGTACACGTTTGTTGTGGAGTTAATTGTAACCATCATCGAATTTAAATTTATAGGAATTTTTTTGGCTCCACCACCCTTCTGCCAGATGTCTCCGTCTGTCGCAGTTAAATGTGTAGTGTTGAGGGTAGGGCTTTTTTTTTTTTTTTTCCTCTATGAGAAGTCTGTATTGGAATTTTTATATACTGTTTTTAAGGAAGGAGGGGACAGAAGGGGAAACCAGCCCCCTCCCTCTCCTCTCCACAGCTCCTGGGGGTGGGAAGGTGGGGCCTGGCTGCTTTCCCTCTGGCACAAATGGCCAGGCTTTCCCAGACACAACAAGACGCCTAGGCTGGGGCCACCCTGATGTTTATACATTGGGTATCCCACAGTAGAAAGCCCCAGAGATTTGTTTTGTAGGCGTTGGCACTGGGGATGGAGATGACCTGTGGGGATGGTCACCATAACCATCTATATTTGCGCATGTTTCTTCTGTGTAAAGATAATCATGGCCCTTGTAGTGCTTTCAGTGAGGGCACTTCATTGGTCTCTGTTTCAAATTCGTTATTTGGGGGCAGACATTCGGGACCAATTATCTCATCTTTTCCCCCTCTTTCTGTCTTTGTATAATTCAAAGAAAATATTTTTGTTGATACAATTTTGTTGGATGAAAGGAAAAAGCATCATGACTATCAAATCTAGGTTCTGTCATTTTTGATGGTAGGAATCCCTGCAGCTTAGGCATCTGAATCTTAATTTGTAAACGTGGATCGTGAGACAAGGTTTGCAAACTAGGATGTATATGCAGCCCACAATCCTCCCATGTGCTCATACACCCACATTTTATTTGACTCAGTGCGCCTATAGGCACAGATGAGAAGGAATATTATTGGTATGCTTTGTCTGTTTTATGGAGTAAACCTGACCACATGCACATCTAGAGCTTGTGTCTCTGTGGTTTGTGATCACTGGCAGTCTTTGCTGATTGTGAGCACAAATGCAACTGAGGGACCTCTGTATGTTTGTGTGTGTGTGACACTTCTTAGGATGATGTTTATCCACTGGCCACATTAGGAAACATTAGCCTGCTGGTCATGTTTCCTGGAAAATTAGGATAGAAGAACCTATTTATAAAGCAAAATATTAACCTCAAAATGCCTCCTGATTTTGGAGAAAAATAGTTAAAACCCGCAGGTAGTACTTTCTCTGCAATGTGCAGTCCAGAAAATGTCCTCAACTCCAGAAGAGATTTCTGGTAGATGAGAGGAGAAGGTCATCATGAAAGAAAAACAAAGGCTTCTGTGACCCAAGCCAGGAACCTGCCAGTCCTTGGTGACCCTCTAAAAAGGGGGGAAATGGGGTTTTTGGCCCCCAAACAAACCCACCTTCGGACTCCCAAGATGCCCCACCCCCCTTGCAGGTCAGGGGCACTCTGGGCGCAACCTCTTGGGGTAATCCCCTCCAGCCACAGCACTGCCCAGGAACAAAAGATCCTCGTCTAGACGCTGCCATAAAGCACCCCCCCCCCAACCACCCGCGTCTCTAAACTCAGTTTCATTTCGACCTTAACGACCCAGTCTGGCCTGTATTAGAATCCGCTTCCGCCCTAAATAGTAAACAAACCTGTAGTGGAGGGTCTTGGCTCTCCCCACACCCCAGATCCCCACCTCCTCAGTCTCTTGCCCCACATTTTTCCTCTTTTCTCCAGCCTTTCTCAGTTCCCAGCTCCCCAGTTCCTTTCCTCCCCACCCTCCCCCCCCCACAGTAAATAAACCTGAGGCCGAGTTCAAAGTTTCCCGGAGCTAAGGAGGAATGTTGGTTGTAAAAATCCAAGTTTATAGCGCACGTGGGAGTTTACAAGGGTATTAAGTGGTGTGGGCTGAGAGAGCACTCTGGGCTCCTCCCCCTCCCACCATGGGCTTTAGGGGTGCAGGAGGAATCAAGGGCACTCAAAATGAGAAATGGGTTTGGGAGTAGCCTTGAGTTTGGGATTTCTTTGTCACTCAGACTCTTAGATTGCTGAGCAATGGCGATGCAAGGGCCCTTTGTAAGAAGGCTCAAAATCCCTGCCAAGCACCTCTAATAGAAAGCCCCCTGGCTCTAGGTGTCCCAGATGGAAACATTGGGCAGCCCTGTTGGGGGAGAGCAAAAAGGTGCAAACCAGGTATCTGAAAGGTGAACAGAGTTGGGGATACTAGAGCCAGTTCTTAACCAGAGTGGGGAGAAACTACCTTGGGCTAATTTCTCGAGTGGGCTGAGAGCAGAGAGGGCTCTTCTCTTAAGGGCAAAGAAGAACTTTGAACTTCAAGGGAGTCAAGGGCACCACCCCTTCGCTTTCCCCGCCTCTCTCAGGAATCCGTAGGGCAATTGTTTCTGGGCCACTGTTCCCTGAAGGGGGCAGCCACTGGGGTTTTCTGGTGCCCCAAGGTTGGATAACGCTGTTTGCTAACCCCTCCCTACTCAGAGCCCGCCAGAACCAGTGCACGCGACTACACTCTTTATTATTCATATAAACCTTTAGAAAAGGCAACGCCCGGGAAGTTTTTATAACTTTGTTTGGCATAAAAATTTTACAAGATTCTCCATCCCTTTAAAAAAAAAAAAAAACTTAAAAGTTTTGGTCTTGCCATAGGATGAAATCTCAAGTCTTTGAGAGGCAAGGGAGAGAGGGGCTGAGGGGGGTGTTACAGTGTAGGGAAGGGAGCGGATGGAGCTGTCTTTCTCTGTCTAAGGCAAAAAGCCTTGAAGGTCTGAGTCAGTCCTACCTGAGGCCCATATTGGACTCAGCTTTGAGGCATCTTTGTACAGAGTCCTGTCCACTCTGCTCTTGAGTCACACTCTTACAGACTCCAAAAGTTGGGACAATATCGCATGTCAAGATCTTCCCTCATTACACCCTGTCGTTCTCCTGCAGGCACTTTCTCTCTCTCTGTCTCTCTCTCTCTCTCTCCACACACACACACACACACACACACACACACACACACACACGCATTTCTGCACGCTCCCCCTTCTAACCCACTGCACAAAGCAGAGACCCATAACCTTGACTCAGACTGCTGACTGGGGAGGGTCTCTGCACACGCAGCCCTGCATGCCTGCCTGCCGCCTGTGAAGTCAACAATGGGTTTGAAGAAAGAACCCAAAACACCAAGAAACTCCTGCCAGAGGCTGGAGTGGTTGCAGGACCAAAGGAGACAGAGGGCCCGCAGGGCTGCAGTCCAGGAACAGAGAACAAAGGCAGCCATGTGGGAGATGGCCTTGCCCATGGATGACCCCCGGATCTGCCCCTCAGCCTAGGACTGACAGAATCCCACTCGCTCATTTCTCCTGACTCCAGCCTTGGGAGCACCAACTGGGCTCACCTTTGGAGCCATTTTAATGTTTCAGCTCCGGAGGTCAGGACGGCTTCTCCAAAGGTAGGCCTGGTAGACAAGGCTCCTTTGGGGTGATGGAAGTGAAGATGTACGATCCCTGAATCCTGGCACTTCAAGAAGCCATCAGCATTAGTGTGAATGTGCCCCAGAATCCGATTTTTCCTCCCGTAATGACAACTGCTGGGGCCTGGCCGCTGGTGGCTGGCAGCCCTACACTTCGCCTTGTGAGGTGGAGCTGAACTAAGGCTGTAGGCGGGAGAAGGTCAACTCCAAGCCTTAGCAGCTAGGCTGGGGAGGCATGCGACGGAGCCTGATGCTGTCCCCTTCACTAAGCCCAGGACGCCAGAGAAAAATAAGAAAGCTTAGGAAAGAAAGTCAAGGGGAAGGAAATAATTGGCGAGAAAAAAAGAGCAAAGATTGAATTGTATAATAAAGAAGGAAACGAGGAAATGTGGAAAGTAAGGAAGACAATTGAAAAAGGATTGGAAAAAGAAGGAAATAATGTATTACAGGGAGAAAGGAAGAAAGAGAAAAACAGAAAGACGCAAATCAAGAGGAAAAAGGACAAAACAAGAAGGAAAGAAAGAAGAAAGACAGAAAAGGGGGAAAAAAAAAGAAGGGAAAGGAAAGCAAACAGAGATCTTTGAGAAGGAAATTAACCGGTAAGAAAGGATCGGTATTTTTCTCCGGAGCAAGCCAGCCCAACCACAGCCCTGACTCGCTAGAAACCTGACACACTGGGGCAACTTAGAAGCAAACCATTAAAGTGGGGAGCAGGGCCTGCCCCCTCAGGCATCTTTCCACCTGCCTCCTTCCCCCAAGGCTTCCCTCGGAGGTGTCTGCAGTCTGGTTTCAATTCAGGGGACAAAAATTAAATAACTGGCTAGCTTCAGCAGGGCCAGGAAGCAGTCAGGTTGGCGCGGGGTATCAGGCTTTGGGATTCGGAGATCTCAGACAGTGCTTTGGGTAAAAGTGAATATTTGTGGCTGTGTACACACATTTAAGTGCAAGTTAGACATGTGTATAGATGCTGAGCTCCGTAGTATCTGTGTGCAAGTGTGTACAATGTCAAGATGTGAGAGATTCTGTTGGCCGAGCTGTCCCAGAGGCTGTGAGGACCAGAGCAGACCAGAGGCCCCGCTAAGCGTCCTCAGCCTCCTACCTCTCTCTAGTACCTGTTTGTAAATATTTTACTTTTCTGGGTCTCTGGGCATTCTGAATTTTGCCTGGAATTTCCCTGCTTTCAATTCAGCTGGGGCAGAGCCTGGTGCTAGTGAAGAAGAAAAGCAAATCTTTTCCACAAGTTTTAGGAAGAGAAGGCTTTATCTTGGCCTCCAAAGTG